TGAGATGTTCTACTCTCTTTATCTAAATAGCTTTGTCCAGAACAAGTTGCTTTGTGCTCATGTTTTTATATCTGTCATCTTCCTAGATTGCCTCTCCATAGTACAAGTGTGCTGTAGTCATCTGGATTACAGCAGTGTTGTAATACCCCTTTTATGTGCGTGCTGATTGCTAAAATATTTAATGTTTGGAGGTTATAGAAAACGAGTTTATCAATTGGAGATGTGTTTCTCAACTTCTCCCTTGCATTTCCCATCTAGTGTCTTAACATTGAAAATGATAACCTGGCTGAGGTGAGCACAATCACCAGCCCTGCTACCAAGCCAGCAGAGACGCACAACAGCTGCCATTACTGCAGCTCATTACGTGTGATGAAAAAGGATGTTAACTGCGGTCCTGATTTCCTGGATAGTATTGAGGGTCCCTTTTCCAGCATTTTGCCACCAGAAGACACCAGCCAGCTGAGTGTGAACTCTTTAAATGACACGTCCCCTTCCAGCTCTGATTTCTGTGAGGATTTCTACACCACCTTTATCGATACAAAGGCGAATGGTGACGCAGCAACGACAAACACTATCAGTCAATCCCTTGCAGAGGTTCTGAGTGAACCTATTGATCTTTCTTACTTCTCACTGTGTAAAGCTTTTAATGGCAACCTCTCAGGGACCGGACCAGAATGTAATGACTCTGACTCTGGTATTTCACTGAATGCAAGTTCTAGTATAGCATCGCCTGAACACTCTGTGGAATCATCTGCCTATGGAGATAAGACTTTGGGTTGTAGTGATTCTGAAATGGAAGACATGGATAGTGCTCCTGGAAGTGTGCTGCAGAGCAATGCTAGTGTGCACTCTATGCAATTCCAGGATCAAGTGTTTTCTTCCATGGGGCCAAACACTCAAACACCAAGTTTGCCATGTACAAAGACACCAAAGAAAGAACCCCCTGCTGCTCCCGGCTACCCCGAAGCTCCGTTCACAAAAGATAAACCTTCAAGCCGCCTGGAAGCTCATCTCACAAGAGATGAGCAAAGAGCAAAAGCTCTGCAGATCCCTTTTCCTGTTGAAAAAATTATCAATCTCCCTGTTGAGGACTTCAATGAAATGATGTCTAAGGAGCAGTTCAATGAAGCCCAGCTCACACTTATTCGAGATATACGGAGGAGAGGCAAGAACAAAGTGGCTGCTCAAAATTGCCGTAAAAGAAAACTGGAAAATATAGTGGAACTGACACAAGACTTGACTCACCTAAAAGATGAGAAAGAGAAATTGCTTAAGGAAAAAGGAGAGCATGACAGGAGCCTCCGCCAAATAAAAAAGCAACTAACCACCTTATACCTCGAGGTCTTCAGCATGCTACGTGATGAGGACGGAAAGCCTTACTCTCCTAGTGAATATTCACTGCAGCAAACTACAGATGGCAATGTCTTTCTTGTTCCTAAGAGCAAGAAGTCAGGGACTAAACTTTGAAGGGCAGTACGGCTGGCTACTGTTCTTTACTATTTTTGTATCATTATCCTGATAGTTTTTACTGTGAGGTGGAATGCAGAATTAGGTAATATTTTTCAAATCTATGCAATGATAATTTTAAAGTTGTTAATTAGTTTATGGAAGATGCAAGTGGAAAATTAATAGTGTAATGCAGATGGATGTATGCAAAATTTGTAATCTCACTTTTATAACAGATGTTTCCTTCTTATAGCACCACTTTGACTAGTTTCCGTATATATGTAAATATTTAAAGATGCCATATTTATATACTGTTCCTATCTATTGTTATATTCATAGATTTATTTGATATATATATAAATGATTTTAGCCTTCTAAATATAATTTCTTGCAAGACAAACAGGTTGGCTTCTGATACTTTTTTATAAATATGCAATAGTATGTTTCCCATTTTTCTTACACATTTATACTTGCTTTATATTTAATATATTATTTCAATTTAGTATAAAAGTTGACAGTGTTTGATTTTGCTTTATCAGTTCATTAAACTTTTTAAACTCTACTTCACATGCATGTTTATTTCCCTAAAGAAGAGAAATCCTCACTAGTTTTCCAAGGCTAAGCCTTCATGTAACAGATATGCACAATAACCAATTGCACAGCCTTGTCAGCATTACTAATGCTTCATTCAGCGTAATTTAAACTGTCATTTGGAAAGATCACGTAGCACAAAGTTTCAAATCTCTGCTAAGTTTACATTTTTGTTTTGCTCTTTGAACACTACTTAAATTTGTGAGATCTTCCCTCCAAAGGCATTTAAAATCAGTTAAGACATTGTCAGCATTATGCCTTTTTCCAACTAAAATTTCTGTACATCTTAGAGTAATTGTTCTAGAAATACACTCTTGTGTCTCGGATCAACAAGCATCACTTGTCCCTGCTGTTACTTTGGTGCTTAAGGAAAACAGCATACTAGCTGCCAGCCAACTGCACTGTTTGGAATCAATGCTCAGTGAATTGAAAAGTGTTGTGGAGTTTAAATTATGATTTATAAAAGAATAAAAATTGGGCAAACAAATAGCATTGTTTTGTTTACTCTTGAAAGGAACTCGCTGTACTGTGGATTTTTTCAGTACAAAAAATGCATGATTTGTAAGACACATTGTTTGTGAACATTAAAAACCATATCTTCTTACAAAACTTCTAAAAGGCATGCTTAATCTGAAGTGAGTTTTTTCCTGCTACTTATGCTCTATATAATTTTAGGAGTATTTTGTCTATTGCAGTATTGTGCATGACTTCATTTAAGTAATTGTAAAACCCAAGTTGTTTTGCAAGACCTCATGGCACATCTGTTAAAAAGGACAGAGATGCTGAGAAAGGGTAGAGTAGGATCCACAAAAATTGTTTAATACTACTGTAGGAGAGTTTAAAGAGAGACATCAGATTAGGAATCCAGCCTTCCATTAGCTCATTATTCACAAAGTTAGAGTAATGCCAAGTAAAATGATACAGTTGCTGGTGAGTTTAGTCTTGAGATTTTTATTTCCCAGACTTTTTAACTGTGCTGGATTTGCATATCCATCAGAAAGCTTCCCATGACTGCACATGAAAGCTAAAGGAACAATTTTAGATTATCCCAATTCCATACTATATAATTTTTTTTTTTAACCTTCTGAGTGTCCTCACCCCTCCCCCGTGCAATTAGGAAGTACAGAAAGCCACAGTCCTGACAAGTATTATTGTGCCACAGGATGCTGTGGAAGGGCTCCTGTTTTTCAACTCTTCTATGCTGTTCGCTGCTTTCACACAACTCCTCAGTGACTCCAAGCCCTCTCACCTCAACAGCAGTACTAGTTTGGAGGCAACAATTATGTAGTTTTGTTTTTCCCTGGATGCACAGAATTTCAGATGCCCTTTTATTGTCGGGCTGGTCACAGTAGCATCACTCAGTGTAACTTCACAGTCAGCTTTTACTTTTATTACCCCACAGCCTTTGTCACCTTGTCATTTATCTTCCTGCAACTCAGTAACTGATTCTGAATAGCAGAGGTCTCCCCAATACCTGGTGCAAACACACACACATACACACACTATCCCTCTGCAGTGCAGTCTTGGCTGAGTAGAGCAGGAGCAGGAAAAGCAGAGCAGTAACAGCTTCCCCACAGAGATGGGTTTGCTTCGGGGCAGTGTAACACCAGGAACCATGATCCTATTAACTATGTCGGAAAAGGCACATGTTCTGCCAAGTGCTAGTACCAGAAGAATGTTTTTAGTACTTAAACCTAGGACTATCAGATGCTCCAGCCCTACCTACCTCAAGAGAAAAGTAACATAAAAGTTTCATAGAAGTTCTCATACTGTGTTCCTTGCTGCAGAGTTTCAGGTGAGGCTCTGCCCCACAAAATGTCTGTATTTGACACTGCAGATACTGGGAAGTCATGAAAAAAATTCATCTCAGATTTGCAGCATCCCTGCAGTGACAGGGGCCATGCCTGTTACAGCAAGTACTAAAATATGCAGTTTTACAGAAGATATTAGGAAATGCAAATCTAGGTGACCGAGCTTGCACCTCGAGGCTGCTTACCTTGGTTATACTGACCTTCCTTGTTAACTGTGTGCCAGGCCATCCCCCTGCCCAGTCCTTACGTGCTCTGAACGCAGGAACACTCCTCTGCTTGGAGCAAACGGTCAGTAACAATGTGATAACTTGGGAGGCTCGATTTTATGGACAAAGCAGATTTATTTGCTCTAGATAGGGCAGCCAGGTACCAGCTAAAATCAAAGCTACTGCAGCAGTGAGTGATACTTTTCCTTCTGCTGTTATTTAAATGTGCCTCTTGACTTTGCCACCAGCACTGCTCAGGAAGAAAAGCACCTCTAACAGTTGCCAAACCTGGGCGAGCACTAGAGGAATACCAGACACTGCTGCCATTTAAAGCAAGAGGACTAATCCATATTTGAGGATGGCTGTTTTAGAGCACAGGCATTAAGGAGAAAGCACACTGAGCCTTGGCCCGGACAGTCTTTCAACGCTGATACACAGTAGCTCTAATACACAGGCAGGTCTGATGGCAAAGCAGAGAGAACCTAAAATGCTCCTGGGTTCCCCCTGCCACTAATTAGGCTATCAAATGTCTGACTTACAGAGAAAATGTTCTCTCTAACTGCAGTATAAATACTTTAATTACAAAGTGGTTATAAAACAGACTCTTGCCCTGCACTTCAATTTGTTCCTTAATTCGTTCACTAATGTGAGAACCAAAGCCAAACAGCAACCTTACAACCTTCAGAGGGGCTGTTGCATTTGTACCCATGTCTAAAATATAATACAAGGATAGCATTACCAAGACAAAAAGTGCAACAATAAAAAACCTGCAGTTAATGCAGACACCTTGTTTGAATTTCACCAGGCAAAGAATCAGGCTAAAGGAACTGACTGTGACAACTTGCATTCCATCTAAACCAGTATTCACATCATGAACACAGTGAATGCTGTACTCGCATTGAAACATCCAACATTAATGAAAAAAATTCCACACCACTCATGTATGTAAAAACTTCATAGTGCAAACTATAACCTTTATTATTATTACTGAGGTACAGAGTATATTCCCAAACCTGAGAGTGGCTAGAGACACTGACAAGTCTAAAGCATCACAATGCTGACCTTATATGCTGACAATTTTCCACATGGAAACCATTTATTTCTTGATCAAAACATCCAGTTTTAAAACTGTTAAAAGTAAAGCTGAAAAGATGGGCTGAACCAAGGTTTTCTGACTTGCAGTCCCCAAGTTGGAAAGATGATCCTGTAAGAAAACGTGTTGCAATAATTCAAGACCGCTTTGTGTTCATCACAGCACTAAAAAAAGGTGATGGCAACGCATTTTAGATTGTAAGTCATTTGACAATATACACTTTATTCTGATACAAAATTGAAATATTTTAAACAAATTTCAATCCATTATGGACTATACTGAAATTTTTAATTTCTATGCTATTTTAACTTGTTTAACCACAAGTTCTGAGATTCCAGCACACTAGCACCATTGCTCTTGAAGTCTTTGCCAGTTATTATACCATTTTATTCTGTTTCCAGTCTTGCGATATTATCTTCTACATGAAGGCCATTTTTCTTCTACTTGGAGATACTTGGATTACTTTAGTTCAGGAAAAAGCTAATAGATAGAGATGGCAACCTGTAGCACCCACAGCAGAAAAAGAATCATCCATCAGATATCTGAATTTCAGTGATACTCAAGATCCTACATGCTCGACACAATTTAAGATACAGGCATTTGTCAGAGACCACAGACTGGTTTTTAAGAGAACATTCCACCCCAGTGCAGACAGCATATGAAAACATGTTAGTGTCTTAAACACAGGAACCAAAGACAGCACATCAGTACATCACACAATCAATGCTTGAAAGACTAAGAGCTTTAAATATTAAACAGATATAAAAGTTAAGATGCTGTGTTCAATTTCCATGTTATGTAATAACATACTTATCACATCTGCATCAATCTGGCCTCCTTTTGGGGAAACCCTCCTTACTACCTGGAAGTACCATCTTTGTTTTCAAATAAACTTCTGTACAACTGCAGCTTAGGGACCAGTGCTTCATTAACTTTGCATCTTTAGATCTCCATCTTTATTTACAGCTGCTATTTTCAACAGCAGCCAGTAAAGAAAAAAGGTGGCTATAAAATAACATTCTCAACTCTTCAAAGTGACTCTTAGACAAAGCTACACTCGACCAAGTAGTCCCTTCAAGAACGTGTTTATCTTTGACAAAGTTATTTCTGAACAAATTAGGGTACGAATAATTGAACCTAAGCCAATTAGTCTAATAAGAGTGTTATGAATCTAAGTGTGAAAATAATTTTAAGTGAATATTTAGTTCTTTATGTAGTGCAAAAAGACCTGTCCAGAGCACAAAACCAATCTGCAGCACTGTGGGATCCTCTGTTAAGGAAAGATAAAATTCTGCTGTATACATAGGCTAGTAGTAGAATGCAAACTAGAAAGTTTTTGTTAAAAATTACTTTTGTTAAAACAATCTTAAGATACTTGCAAGCACAACAGCATTTGCCCTCACCTGAGTAATGGTGAAACACTAATGCTGTTCCCTGCTACCTGTTGCTACACAAATGCCTGGGGGAAGCTCTGCCTAGCAGAGGAAAATCACAGGTTTTCAACTTCCAGGTGTAAGCAAGCAAGCTTGTCACCTCTGCAACAAGCTGACTGGCATAATACACTATGACTGTGACTGTACTGCTGCAGTTTCAGATTTTGGCTCAACCTTGGCTAAGCAAAAGCTTTTGTCAAAGTTTTTTAAACAAATATATACAGTCATTGGGAGATTTTCCATTAAGTAGCTCCTGATTTTGTGAAAATCTCTGTAAATTACTTCCAAATTAACTTTTGATTTTACATTACTAAATCATGAACTGCTTTCTGGAAGTTTACAGGTGGCAGCCAGAAAGTTTAAATACTTGAATCAGTTTGTGAATATGCCTCAGCCTCTGATAAACTGAAATGCAGATTCCATTTGACTATTTTCAGAATAACTGCAGTATAGCCAACACTAAAATAGAAATTGACTTCATAAAAATGATGCACAGGCTCAGAAACGTTTCAGGAAGTTTAAAAGGATGCTGGACTGCTATATGAAGGGACCTGTAACGATCAAAGATGCAGAAAAGGAAATAATGCATGTTCCAAGCGCTAAGAACCAATGTGCATAAAATCCGATTCCATGAGTTTTCACTTGTACAAAAGCTGTTGGGGATTCAGGGTATCATGTGACAGTACTGGCCTCCACTTAACTACCCTGCCCGAAGGCACACAAAATCTAAAAGGGAGCTCTTTGATTTGTACAGGTACATACAACCCCACCTGGTAAGCCAAGCTCCACTCACTAGGAGGGAAGTCCCGGCTCTTGAAGGGTGCAGAATGAATGCAGCAGCAGGTCACACACTGCTGAGAACTGCAGAACTGCTTCAGCGTTGCTGCCTTTCTGGGCTTCTGGGGGCTCTTTCCCTTACATGGCACAGAACAATTTCCCCCCACCCCCGACCCCAGCACACCCCCCTACAGTAACCAGAGTGCCTATTTCAAAACATTTACAGTTTGTCTTGTTGATCTGGAACACACAGCAATTTTGTATCTGCCAGGAACACAAGATTCTTGGATAGGAACCGGATGACATATACTGGAATACTTGCTCCTTACTACTTATGGCTTTCCTTGATATCAAAAGGCTGGCAAAGGAAAGCCTAGAAGGAAAGAAGGGTTAAACAGATGTTTTACTATACACTACAAATCTTACCCAGTCAGAAACCTTCAACTGAAGAGGATGTGCAAGACATTCCCCATTTTGTCAAGCAGCAGCTTCTCATTCAACCTGAAAATTAAAGAAATTACTCTTACCTTGTTAAAAAACCTTCCGCTACTCTTTATAATTCATGAAAAATTTTAAAGGCAAACCTTACCTATGCTCATTGCCCTTCCTTTCAGGTCTAAATGCTAGACCTATTGATTTTGAGTCAACTCAAGTAGCTATCACTCAAGGAGGTTCCAAAAGGTGAAGAACTCTTGCTAGACTTTCTTCGATATTTCAGCTGTGATAAGCAGATTTAACTAGCCTTGGGAAAGCTGCTCACTATCAGCACAGTATCTTATGCCTTCACTTTTCTGGAAGTTGAAGCTGTTGCTCCTGCTGCCTTGTCATTCTTTTATTAGGCTGACTTCTCCATACTCAATAGGCTGCTGAAGTCCTGTCTTACGAGTCTCCTTAGCAATGTATGGATCAAAGAAGTACATCCTAGGTTCTGAAAAGCTGGTGAATCACTGTCCTCAGGGCTTACACTTTTCCACATCACAAACAACAGCTAAGCTACCCCACCCACCTACAAAGCGGTCACTTACATCCATCTCTTAAAAGGTTGCATACAGATCTTGTTCATAAAGTTTATTATGACACTATTTTTCAAAGTTAACATTGTTGTCACAGTACAGCTACAAGAGGCCCTGTTAAAAAGAACACTGTCAATACATTCTAAAAAAATTTAGAAATACCAGATCAATTGTCAGAAGGGACATCAACCCCATCCTCCAGTTGTCCCTGCAATCAGTTGCAGACCCCAAGTGCAAGTCTACACATCTTCTACAGCATAGTAACATACAAAACAAGTCGGTAGTTTGGTGTCTCACTCCCTAGTGAGTTGTGGTTTAGTTTCCCATGTTTTCAAACTCCAAATGGGTTGTTTAAAAAATGCCTTTATTGAAGTACAGCCTCCCCCCCACCCCAAGCCCAAATGAATATGTACAACAGAAGCGTTCACTAAACCACCAATTCTTGCTTTAACTTTTGAGATCTTTTAAAACTCCACAGAAAATAAGCAGCAGACTTTGAAATCCATTTTGGACGCTACCATCTTGACACTGGTTCCTTGTTTTAGTGTACTGCAGTCTAAATACACTCCAATAACAGTGTTTAAATAACATATGTTTAATTTTTTTTTTTCAAACAACACACTCATTTTTCTACCACTTCTTAAAAATTATAATTCATTATTAATATGACTGATTATGCCTTGAGCCATTTCATACATCTTTGCAGATTCATTCCTATACTGGAATTGCATTTACCTTATACTGCACATTGACCCAGAAGTGAAACAGGTGTGAGTAATTCCAATACATATTGCCAAGTGTCTGAGTATTTCTTTTATTGACTGGGTCCCTACTCTTCTTAGTCTGAATGGACAGCAAGCACTGGCCTGGCAATAGTCAAGAGAATTCACATCAGATGAGGACAGGACAGACTGCAGTGCCTTAATTTGGAGGTCAGAAGTGAGAATGGAGTACCATTTCTAGCCATATGCGCTGGTAACATTTGCTACTCCAGTGCACCAAATCCAGTCGCAGCACACTATCACTCTGCCTGTGGGAACTTGAGACTGTACATTCTACATTGTGGGAAGTGTTTCTAGTCGGAAAAATACAATTAGATGGTGTTTTATTTTCAAGCTCTTAGCTGAGCACAGACATCTGCAAGGGAAGCAGCTTACAAACTATACTACTTCAGAGCCCACGGGGAATGGGCTTTTGGAACGCATTACCTGGGACTGTCAGTGATTACACCTGCGCTACCCTTGGCTCCCAGTCAGAAGAATGTGTCCAGAAAATTGCCTAGGGTGCATGCAAGAAAGTATATAGCCATTAAATTATTGAGGAACATACCTATTACTCTCACTATGATGCCTCATTTAATTGAAACAGTGCAGTCTGGTGTGAGGGAAAAGGAAATGGGGACAAAGGAAGGGGATGAAAATTCCAAGCCACCCTCCCCAAAGTATAGTTTTATTGAAACAGATTCATTGTATATCTCAAGGAAACAGGCACTTGATTCCCCCCACCTTAACTTCTCGGGAATTACAATAAATATAAAGGTAAAAAGCAAGTTTCTTTTTCTCTTAACCCAAGACTTAAACAACTTCAGTTATCCCTTATGCATCTCAAACGAGACGGGAGACAGCTTTCATGTGTCTAAAGTTGGTCTTGTTAAAATATTTATCATGCCTTATTTTCTTGAAGCGCTAGTACTAATACAGAACTACAAATTAAAAAAATATGCACAAACCAAAAAGTAATTTTAAATTTTCATTAAGGTAAAGCTTATTTCTATGATTCACAAACACTAATTTGAGTAACTCAATCCTAGTTATACATCTAAACAAACTATAATGCAACATACAGATGTTTTCCCTCTGTATGCCTATGTAAGTCATGTCAATGACAGTTACGTATATACACTGAGACTAGACCCTTAAGACTGCAAATCAATAGGTGTTTCTATTGTTAACTTTAAATTAATACAAAATAGTAATTGAGAAATGCATTAATCTTCTCTATTAACTAACAAGGAAACACCCTAAACTACATTTTATTTCTGTTATAGTTCTCTGTACTAAATGTGGAAAAACTGAACTACACAAATATTGAAAAGTTAAAAAATCATTGATTTGTTTATTCCTGGTACCACTACCACAATTTACAGGGCAATATACCTGATGTAATGGGAAAATAAAAAGAAAAAAGAAAGACAAAGCTACAACAGAGAAAGACCTCAGGAATGTACATCTAATCGACACTACATTGCATTAATCAATAGCTGCACTTTTTGCAAACTGTGGCTATGACAGTCCTGATCAAGAAGGGTTTCCTGTTTAAGCTGCAGTAACTTTTCTGACTATGGATCATCGTTCCTTCTGTGGCAGATTTTACAGTTCCTCTAATTCATTTGGGACGACTGTCTCAAAGTAACCTGCAGCTTTCCTGACAACTCCTCGCTCTCTCTCCTGCTAAGAACTGTAGCCTGTTGAATACAGGATAAGAAAATTATTACTCTCAGTGAACAGTTGCACATTATTAATCATCATTATAAATATACATTACACCTACCCTTTTTCTGGTAGCATTTTTAGAATCTTCTACCACCATAGCCCCCACTTCCACTTCCAGATCCATAACCACCTACAAAAATAGGATGTATATTGAAATACAAGAATAACAAGGGATTTTAACTCAAAAAACATTCTCTATACAAAATCATGCTTACCACCATAGGGACTGCCTGAACTTCTGCCACCAAAGCTACCACCACCTTTCATGGGACCATAGTTAGACTGCTGCTGGCCACTGTAATTGCCAAAATCATTGTAGTTTCCACTTCCACCATAATTACCTGAAATAAACACAAATGTATAAAGTCATGTTTGATCAATTCTTAGGGCACAAAGCCTGCAAATTATGGTATCCAATGTGAAAGTAATAGTTTTAAAACTATTTCAAATGAAGTTCAAGCATTTTGCATGCTACCTTTATGCAAAATGTATGAACGGAAAACCCTTAACACTGGAAAATTTATCAATTTGAGTAGGCAATTTGATGTTAACACAATTTAAGGCCCTTAAAGTAAGAAAAGCACGTGAGTTTCACCATCATTCTTCCACTGCCCAACACTCTGCATGTATGACAATAATGTAAATTACATACTAACTATTTGCTCCAAAAAGTGATAGAAGTGTAACGGGCATGCTGCAAATGTACATCAGGAAGTATAATAAAGTATGCAGCAGCTTTTGCAGCTTGACTTCCCAAATTTTGGGTAAACAATAAAAAAAGCTTATAAAAACTTATATTCACAGTCCTTGGAAAGGAAGATGTGATCTACATGATGTGAACTGGTATCTGAGGAAAACAGCGTATTTAAAATGGTCAAAATCTTTAATACTCTACCTCCACACACAGAACTACAGCTGAAACTTTTTGAAAAATACATCCCAGGCAACATAATGTTATAGCGTATCAAAGCTGATCCACACTGAAAAGAACTCTCCTTATGCAACATGGCATTCTATGTTAAAACCTACTTGTACAAGCCATTTTATACATATTCCAGTACCATATTTCAGGTACTGTAAAATGAGACCTGACTAAAAAATATGGATGTCTAATTAAAGTTGGCATCTTACCACCACCAAAATTTCCTCCTTCATTGTAGCCATCGTATCCTCCTCCACCACCTCCATATCCACCACCTGGGTTTCCATATCCTGGTCCTCCACCACCACCATAACCTCCTCTGCTGCCATAGCCAGGACCACCTCCATAGTTGCCACCTTTGAACAAAAAAGTCAAACTAAACACATCAAAGCCAAATACCGGCAAGGAAGGGTACATTTAACAAAAAACCCCAAACCAACACGACTGCCCAATAAAAATCTCCCACAGCATTTTCCCTTTATTATACTCATTGTGGTTCCAACTTTATCTAAGCTATTTAACCGAAAAAATCCCCCATGTTTATTAAGTCAGTAATCAAGTAATTAATTAAGTAATTAATCAAGTAATCACATACTACTTCCCTCGCCCTTTCTGACTATTGATAATTGTCCTTTCTGGCCTTTTGGTAATGTACACATTTCTCTTCAGATGCATTCTGGATCCTCATCCAAACTTCATAATGAAAAAGATACTACCAAGCCATGAAAACTCTTACAGCTGATTGAAAACATTTCTGGTATGATAGCCGGCCATTGCTTTGTTCAGTTTAGTCTTTTCAACTGACAGCAGAATCTTCATTTAGTTCTCAATAATCTTTAACAGCTGTCTCATGACCTCATAATATGAAATTATTTAAAGGGTAAATACAAAGGAGTATTTTTGTCCATCTATCCATCATTTTGTGGGGAAAACAAAAAAACCACTAATTCTTCACAGCTCTACAATGTAGACATTTAACTTCCATTATCACTATTATCACATTATCACCAAAGCAGATTTTGTTTTGAAGGTGAATGCAAGACTTACAGCTTGTTCTAACAGTGTGGGGAAAAAGAAAGTGAACAATACACTTACCATCGCCAAATCCATTGTATCCGTCACCACCCCCAAAGCTTCCTCTGCTCCCACCACCGCCACCACCACCCCCATAGCCTCCTAGAACACAAAACAGATGAGAATGTTTTCCTGAACACACATGTTAAATGTTTAAGCCAACTGACACAGGAAATAAAAAAAAAAACAAACCACACCAGAAATCACATTCTATATAAATATTCCAGTCATTTACCTCTCCCACCAAAGTTTCCTCCTCGGCCAAAGTTCCCTCCACCGCCTCCAAAGTTTCCACGGCCCATGAAGTTGCCGGAGCCACCCCCACGACCTACAAAATATTTCACTTGAATTACATTAATTGAAAGCCCGTTACATAAAATAACTATGCACAACTACAACTCACCTCTCTGAGAGCTAGCAGTCTGCATCTCTTGTTTTGAGAGAGCTTTTTTCACTTCACAGTTATGTCCATTTATAGTATGGTATTTCTGAACTACAGAAAATTGTGAAATAGCAAAGTTAGAAAATCACATCACAATAATATGCTGTAAAACTCTCAGAGACAGCTACTGTAAGGCATGACCACAACTTTTAAAAGAAAAATGAAACTGACCCCATCTCTTACAACAGTAAAGCAGTTGACTATGCAAACACCTCATTCCACATGTTGCTGTTCTGAAGTCTTACATTAACACTTATCCCACAAAAGTAGTACTCAATGAAGACTTACATACCAACAATTTTATCAACTGTATCATGATCATCAAAAGTTACAAAAGCGAAGCCTCTTTTCTTTCCACTCTGCCTGTCTTCCATGACTTCTATGGTTTCAATCTTGCCATATTTTTCAAAGTACTCCCTTAAATTATATTCTTCTGTATCTTCTTTAATTCCACCAACAAATATTTTCTTTACTGTGAGATGTGCCCCAGGCTTTACAGAATCCTGAAATGCCAAAAATGACATTCAGTGCTTCACATTATTAGGTAAACATGAGGAAAAAAGGTTAACTGAAACACTAACTCACCTCCCTCGAAACTGCTCTCTTTGGTTCAACCACGCGCCCATCAACCTTATGTGGTCGAGCACTCATGGCAGCATCCACCTCCTCCACACAAGAGTAAGTCACAAAGCCAAAGCCTCTGGAACGTTTTGTCTGGGGGTCTCTCATCACCTGCAAGAACATAGGAGGTATCTGCATCTCTGTCCTAGATTAAGTACCTATACCCTTTCCAAACCACCAACTATTATTAGACACTTTACCACACAGTCCGTGAGTGTGCCCCATTTTTCAAAGTGCTCTCTCAAGCTATCATCTGTTGTTTCAAAGCTCAGACCTCCAATGAACAGCTTTCGCAACTGCTCTGGCTCCTTCGGCTCATGGCCCTACAAAATCAAAAATCAAAAACATATTTTGAATACAAATCACAGAATTAAAATTTCACAGAATTACTAAAAATTATCTGTGCACATTATACCTACAAATAGGTGGAATATATTTACATAAAAACAATGACTTCTAATGGGTATAAAACAGCAGCATAATAAACAATTAATGAGGTGTGATTTTAATTAAAACACTAACTAACTACCTTAAGAGTGCTCAAATACAAACAGTAAAAGAATTTCAATATACTAAATAACTTGGTTGCTCCCCAACCCCTGGAAGTGCATTCATTCTATGCTTATCTTTGAGTTGCAGATTGCTCTGTAGGGACTAGCGATGAAGCACTGCTGGATAAAGTTCTAACATTTCATGAAGCATAATCACAAAGAACTATAAAAAATTTAAGGATGCAGAAATGAGTTTAATTGAAGTTTTTGACAACATTGCCTATATATGAGCAGTCACATTTTAAAATGAAGTTTTAGAGCCCAGTTTTCTATAGAATGATTAAAGTGGGCTTACAAGTACAATTGTGTTTCTGCTTTCAGTGCTGCATTTTTTTAGTAGACAGGGAATTTCCCCACACCTTTGACAGGAGTTTACGAAATATTATTTTAAAACTTTCTTCCACTGTAAGGGAAGTCTTACCAAAAGGCAACCAAATTAAAACCTTGTTTTGCAATCATGAACTTCTGTGCATGTGAAACAGTCCACAAGGTACTGGCCAGCTATACTAGGTATGACTTCAGTTCTGCAGCACAAATGCGCAACAGGCTTCGCAGTTTCTGCTGCAGTGCGCTGAACCAGACTAGATGCAGCATTATTGTAAGAGGTGAACTACATAAAACCAGCCACAGACTTCTATGTGTGGACATCTTGCTTCAAACCTGAGGTGCTTTAAGCTCTGCTAAGGTGCTAGGAATAGCCAGGAAAGCAACCCTTTGAGTGAGATTTTCTGATTTACACAGTGCTTTAGGAAATTGTTGGTTTATAATGTTCAGGTTGTACTACAGGAAACAACACCTACGACAATGAAAAACTGACTGAGAAGCAAATCCCTGCTTTCATATCTGCTAAACTTTGTGAGAAACAGCATGAGCATTCTCAGTTATAGTTTTCTATTTATGGCCTTGTTACTGCAGGAACATTATATAAATGATTAACAGTCAACAATCCTAGGACTACCAAGTTAAGCTTCTTTTCTACGGTCTTCTAAGTGGTCTGGACTACAAAAGTATAATAAATAAAATCTCCCTTCTAAGTATATGTAAACTTAAAATTTTATAGGGTAACACACCCACTGCATATGGAAACTGCTTTAGGCCAAGTGTTGTTTTCTGTTGCTGTTTTTTTTTAAATCTACAGACAATACGTAACTTTTACCTGGGTCATGTTAAAGCTGGGAACACTGAGTGTTTCAAAGTCTCTTACATATATTAAAGGAAATTTATTTTGTGGAACTGCAGAGTTCAGACTCCTCCAAAACAAAAAACCTATATAAGGAAAAACTAGACAAACTTTTTACAGTTCTCTAATATCCCTCACGGCTATGATGGTTTTCAGCCAATGACTCAGACTGCTTTTACCTTAAAAGAATGACCACACAACTTTTCAGGTCACTCCTGAAAGGAAAAGTGAAGTCCTTCTCAGCTTATTGTTATTATGTGCACATGAACTGCTGTTCTTATACAGGAGCAAGAACACCTGCTGTTATAGCTTCTCTCTTTCATTAGAGAGAAATTATCCTTAGGACACACCTACGTTATAGGAACTCTACACAAAAATAAAAGGTAGCATTTTCTTAGGGAATTAGTTTTTTTCCAGTCAGTTTGTTCTCACTGGGGTTTTCAGTGCTGTCCTATATTACAAAGCGCTGTTTTCTCGGTTGTTCTGCTGGAGGTTACTCATAGCAGCAGTCTCTCCTGAGCAGCAAATGCTGTGCAACACCTCTCTCCCTTCCTCCTTAGTTTAACTACCACACTGCTCCAACAATATCAGCAGGCGGCCTCCTACTCAGCTGACACCGCAGGCCAGCACGCCATTTTGCAGCTCTCCTCTACGGGGGCGGAGAGTTTAAGCTGTAAGAACGCCCAGCCTGCATTTAGCCGCCAAGACGCTGTTTCTCCCCTGGAACTGTTTAAGGGGTTTCCAAGCACATTAACAGGCTCTGATGAGGCGGGAAACTTTCTTTCCTGCCTCGACTACTGCCTTCCTCCCTAAAGCCAAGGCTCTGCGCAGCCCCGACCGCCTCCATTTTGTGAGCGGCCGCGTCTCCTCCGCCGTCAATATGGAGCCGGGGGCGGGGCCGCGCCGTCAGATCCCAGCGCCGCAGTGGCGCCATGGGCGGGGCCCGCCGGCCCGGCAGGAGGGCAGGGACAGGCCGGCGCTGAGGGGACTGCGCGGTCCCCTCCGCTCACCTCCTCCCGCCAGCAACATCGAAACACTAGTTCCTAGGTCCTACCTAAACCCCCAAACGCTCAGCACAACCTAACTGTACCTCTCATCAGAGGGGAAGAAAAGATGGCAGCTAGAATCCTAATCTTTGCAGAAATCCGGACACGTTTTGACAATGCTGCTGCAGATACATACTGCCTCTATCCCGAGGCTGCTATCAACTGAAATTTTCTATGGCAGGGGTTTTGAATAATCAGCCTTTTGGAGCTGCAGTATTTCTCTCTAGAGGCACAGGTTTCAGGTGGAGCCCTCCCATGCATCATACCTCTATGAACCAAGTGTCCGCAAAATGCCTGGCACCACACCTACAGGCAGCTGTGGCTAAACGTGAGACCATCCTGTCCCCCAGGCAGTACAATCCTAGACTGTCTTCTGACAGGCAACTGTGGCCTCAGCACCTTTCTCTGTGAAACAGTTTCTCTACAAACTCTATAGGTTTTAAAATCATTCCAGGGTAAGCTACTTTTGTGAACTACAAGAGCTTGTGAACTACAAGTATGCAGCTGAGCAACCTCAGTTACACTCTATCCAAAGTCCAAATCAGTGAGAGTTTCAACATTCCTTCCAGAAGGACTTTACACACACGCTAACAGACGCATTCAACTCTAACAAGGTTTGTTCTTGAACCAAGTGTAGAGGCCCTCCCACATTGCAGTAGTATATCATTCCAGAAAAAAGTTGGTTTCAACTAGCTATTCAGGCATCCTGAAAAAATGATGTCAGAAAGCAAGCAAATCGAAATAAACAATCAGAAAATGCCTCAGTTATAAACTATATAGACATATTTAACACCCTTTTTGCTGATCTTAAAATTACCTTCTGAAGGGTATCAAGACCTTCACCCCCCTCCCATTTCCACACCCTGCCCCAAAGTAACTAGCTCCCATCCTCCCAGAAACAGCCCCAACATCTTCTCTATACTACGCACCTTATTCAGTCTACGGTATTTCTGCTAGAAGCAAAAGAAAACAGTTATTTTTACTTAGTACAGCTCGCTTTCATTTGCAGTGACTATCAGGCAACCATTTTTTCATAAAAAAAAAAAAGAAAAAAGAAAAAAGGAACCTGTCTTCATTCCCACTAAATACAGGACTTTGAAGATATGAAGTATTCAAGTTCCTGCTGATACTCTGAGGATGCATGAATTTTTCAATAATTACACCTTGCTTTAATCAGAAACATATATTTAATTGGTTTTAACAGAAAACTAGAAAAGCAAAATTTTCCCATTATGCTAACACCCCACCCCTTAAAACTGTAAGCAATAAACTGCAATTTAAAGTTACTCTGCTAACACGGGGATGAAGAAGGTAGAAAAAAAAGCCATTTATTAATATATCAGATAGAAATTAGTAACTTGGGTTTTTTTTCTTTTGTTTCCCCTTAAAACTTGTGTTTTTAAATAAAAAAAACAATCCTCTCACCTGTGAGGATCGTCTTCCTTTCCTCTTGTAGTCTTCCACCTCTCTCTCTTCCTTAATAGCAGCCATTTTGGAAGGGTACTCTAACTCAGCCTTTCTTTTAGATCTAGGAAACCTAGAAAACAGGTTGGATAAGTCAGCACTTACCCCAATTCCTGTGACACAGGGCCTTCTCTGGCTGAAATGCACAGGTGTGGCTTTACAGGACGAAACGGGTAAAAGTAGGAAAAAAAATCCAAGTATTTAAAAGGGTAAAAATCCTCAGCCTATTTGCTGATGAAGAGCTGCAGAAGGAACATCTGCTATCCTAGTAAAGCTCGTTTTACAACTGTTGGAATACCTAGGTACAAGGCTAAAATCTGCAGAAAACCTGTATCTATTACTGTCTTACATAACTATCACAGATACAACTGATACAGGGCAAGCAAATGCCACCTCTGATACCCAAAACCACTATATAAATTCTAAATATATATATAAAAATATATAAATCTAAAATCTCTGGATTTTAAACCCCAAAACACTTAACATTTTGTAAATAGTGCTAGTAAGAACTATCTGATGGTAACCTATTGTAATCAGCAATCCAGCATCCTGGAACACTAAAGGATGTCTTACAATGTTTTCTGTACTGAAAACCATTTACCACTTTCAGCAGTGGAATTTACTGACTGTCTCTTGCAACATCAGGAATTTTAACATCTGATCCTCAGCAATATGTAACACTAGACATTTACATTACTTTTGCTTCCAAATTATCTATTTGATTACTGTATTATATAAAGTTATGTATGTATCATTACAAAAATTACATCTTCTACAAGATAACCTCAGTGGATGAACCCATACCTATACATTTAAACAAAAAAATGTTCTCTACAGCCTTTATTCTTTAAAATTTTTTGAGATTTTCAAGTTACTTGCCTTAGTATTAGCACATTGGTATCTGACCACAATTCATCACTACTTTGGATGTTTCCTGAAACTTTATTACAGTCACTAAAATGCAATACTGTACATTTTATAACATACTTCAGTAAAACTACTCTTGTGGTGTATTAAAATCACAGATATCTACAAAATTAGGTGTGTTTCTGTGGGGGTTGTTTGTTTGGGTTGGGGTTTTTTTTAAAGTTTTCTTCATGCAAATACTGCATACGGAAAGGCAGACAGGTCCCTACTAATGACCAATATGTGCTGTTATTCATAGTGGAAATTATTGTTTAATATAATTCCATGTTAAAATACAGCTTTAAATTAAACTCAGCTGTGAAATCTTGAGTATCATGATTTAACACATTAACAATTTTAAAGGTTTTATTAAGTAACATCGAAGTGTTTGTATTATCTTTAATTCCTCTCTACACAATATTAAACCTCCTCTTGAAATCCATTAAATCAAACAACAGTTTGACTTAGGAGGTATTAGGATATTAAGTGCTTCAACTGACCTGTTCAGTTCTTGAAGTCATACATGGCAGGTATGGAACAGACCACTAACAGTTCAAAGGCTTTTTATAAACTGGCTGTATGGCAAAATACAACTTCAGGAATTGTTAGGAGGAAAGGGATAAACTTATTTAAATACTTTTTGTAAGTAATGGAAAGTATGCAATCCCTCTCTAATTTTGTCACCTGCTGCTTCCCCCCCGTGAGGCTCAGTGCTGGCCAACATTAAGCTCCCGGGCATGGTCTCTGCAGGCCATGACGGTCAGAACAGTATTGTCTCCTTGCTAATGCCACACCACCAGCTCAGCTGGAACACAGCTATCACTAAATGCTAGTTAAACTAGCATTGAAGACTTACATACTGCAACTTCACTACAGAAATGAAAGTAGTCTCGGAGCAAATCTCTTAGCTTATAATGAGAAAAAGTCATTAGGATACATCTCACTACTCAAAGGAACTTACAATGCTGCTGTACCTCTTACAGGAGACAAGGAGCTAACAGAGGCAAAACAGACATTCCCAAGATGGAGGTTTTCCTGTCCAATCAGAGAATACTATGGAGATATATCAGTCTTTTCTGTAAATAGCTAAAGTTGGACCTAAAGTGCACACACTTAGTGTACTGTAGTAAACCTAAAAGTTAAAGCGGGGAAAAAATTATTTTCAGCTTTAGGTGTGTTGGCAGTTTATTCCCAATGCCAACAGGAATGTCTGCCTGGGAAAAAAATTGCCAAGATAAAAGCTTAGTATCTTATGGGATGGATTTTCAAGCTTTACAGAAGCATGTTCAAATGCTTTGAATACATCAACCCCTCCAGTTAAACCCTGAAGCTGCTAAAACAATTGTTTACATGGAAAAGTTATTTTTAGCTGTTTTGCTAAGGGATCCAGTTTCTTCTCCGCTTTTAATGTAGGAACAGTAGTTGGTGTAGATCACTAGTGTGATCTCTTGTTTTCTGATCTTAATTTTATAGGGTTTCATCTTGCAATGAAGGGAATAAACAGCACACAAAAGAATCTGCACTATTCTTCTCACCACACTCTGAAATACTTGAGAAAAAAGCCTTTGAGAAAAGGTTTCGAGGAAAGAAAAGCAAAGGGGGAAGATAATGACCATTTCCCTCCAGGTAGGGCAGGGATGATTGTTTCAGTCTGCATTTGATCTCGGCTTCAATAAAGTTCAGGATATCTGAACCAAGGTTTGTACAGGGCTGCCTCTTCGTGCTGCACACCAAGATTATGGCTGGATGCCACCAAATGTCGTGACTTTTGTGCATGTGTGGTTGGGAGAGTGAAGAAAGGGAAGAGAGATCTGTACTTTGCCTTCCCCCACCTCTCTGGGCAGCAGAGGCTCGCTACACGTGTTAACTCCCCCTAGAAAGGGGTGAGAGATATTAGGGAGCTGTCGCAACGTGTATCAGCATTCCTCTACGAGAAGCAGCGTACTGCACCTAACGATCTTAACGCTTTAAAAGTCTGTTCTGAGGAAAGTGAGTGTGGAAAAAATGTCCCTGGCGCACTACTCGGGTAACTTACGTGGGGGGAGGGGAGAACACAGGGAGGGCAGAACAATGACACAGGTACGTGTGGGGCTCGCCTCTCCCTACTCCCGCCTGAATCCGCGCCCAGGTGTTTCGGTGTGCCCAGGAGTGCTGCGGAGGACTCTGCTACCCACAGCCCTGCCCCAGGCCGAGGGCCGGGCCGCTCTCGCCCACACGCCAGAGCGCTGCAAAATGGCGGCCGCAGCTCGCGGGGCC